TTAAAATAGAAATACCATTTGACCCAGGAATTCCACTCCTAGGAATTTACCCTAAGAGTGCAGGAGCCCAGTTTGAAAAAGACATATGCACCCCTATGTTTTGCAGCACTATTAACAATAGCCAAGATATGGAAGCAACCTAAGTGTCCGTCAATAGATTAATGGATAAAGATGTGGTACATATACACAACGGAATATTACTCATCCATAAGAAGAAAACAAATCCTACCATTTGCAACAGCATGGATGGAGCTAGACGGTATTATGCTCAGGGAAATAAGCCAGGCAGAGAAAGACAAGTACCAAATGATTTCACACATCTGTGGAGTATAAGAATAAAGAAAAAACTGAAACGGAAGGAACAAAACAGCAGCAGAGTCATAGAACCCAAGAATGGACTAACAGTTACCAAAGGGAAAGGGACTGGGGAGGATGGGTGGAAAGGGAGGGATAAGGGGAATAAGGGGCATTACAATTTGCACCTATAATGTTGGGTGGAGGGCACGGGGAAGGCAGTATAGCACAGAGAAGACAAGTGATGACTCTGTAGCAAAAATGTCACATTCCTCAGCCAGGTTGAAAAAAAGAAGAATGAAGGTACGACTAGACAACACTAATAGAATCTCCTTCTCTGCACTGAGAAAACCGTCCAGACAAAAGAAGTCCCCAAGCAAAGAGAGAATGTGGGATTGGTGCAGAAGTGGAAAAATGAACTGCCTAAAATAGGATCGGTTGAGTGAGGATGGGGAGGAAGGCAATACAGCATTAAAAAACAAAAGGTATACTTAGAGAGCAACTCTACTTTAAAATCACCAAGTACCTAGACTCAAAGGAGAAACGTTAAAGAAGTTGTAATGTCTGATATTGGCTAAAGCTGTACTGTGATATCATGCAAACAAACAAAACCTCTGAATTCTTCAAATTTCTCTTACAGTTTCAACAAGAATACCTACACTTTCCTTCTCTGGAAAAAAATGTTGAGTGTTTTTATTCTTAGGCACTACAGTGTGTGCCTTGGGTTAAACTGAAGCCCAAGACCACAAGCTCTGTGTCACTAGCAATGACATCTGAGTTGGTTCTTCCTTTTGTTTCATGCTACAAATGGCCAGTTCTACAAGAGCAGGTGTCATTTCTTGAATGCCATTAAGGACACACAGATTAAGGTAAAAACAGATTCTCCCAGCTGGCACACAAAACCATAAAAGTCCCCTATCTAAGACAAGTTTGCAATTAATGTAACAATATGAAATTTAAGTCCTGATACCCAAATTTCAGAATCTTGGCAAAGGGAGATTTCATGTACCTAAATAATATGTGATGTGTGACTGTTTTAGGAAATTAGACCCTGGGTCTGGAGCATATAAATAAAAGATAGTAATTCTCAAAAAAAGAAAAAAAAATGTACGGGGAGCGGGGGAAACAGAGTTTAGATAGCTTATGACATTTTATTTTACAGAATACTTTCATAGACAGTGCTTTTTTTTTTGCATGTGACAAAACGTAAGGCAATGGACATTTATTTAAAAGAGAGTAGTGATGCATGAATTCTGGTAACAAGAAAACTGGAAACCAAAGTTCCATCTTGGCAGCAAGTACCATGTCTGTTTGCTACCACCTACTCAGTGCCTGCCACTGTCCCTGGTAGGTGGTAGGCTCTCAGTTAATGTATGTTGAATAAGAAAATGTGTGTTTGTTGAACAAATTGAAGAGTGCTGTGAAGGAGGTAATTTATTTGGGAAGAGGTAAAATGCAAAGGCTTGAGACAATATTAGGAGATAGAAGTGATGGCTGAATATATTACAATACCAACCAGGCTTGAGCTATGAGAATAAGCAGGGATTTCAGACAGAGGAAGACAGATACCATGTTATTTCCCTTATATATGGAATCTAAAGCCCCAAATATAGAAACAAAACTGAAATAGACTCATAAACACAGAGAAAAGACTGCTGATTGCTATAGAAGTGGGAGTGGGAGATCGGTGAAATAAACTAAGGGGGAAAAATGTAATGAGAATATTTGATACCTTCATGTGGGTGATGGTTAAGTGTGTATACACACATCAAGATTCATCAAGCTATACACTGACATTTCTACTTTTTATTGCATGTACCTCAATATAAAAATTTTTTTTAATTAAAAATTATTGAATGAGCAGGAAAGTTCTATAAGGCTGCTAATGGTAGGTTGGAGTCAAATTATAATTAGCTTTGATTGCTGGATTTAGGATTTGGGATTTGTAAACAAAGTGTAATTTTTCTGAACAGATAGCGGCATTGTCAAAGCATTATTTTAGGAATACAGTCTGAAGACACAGTACAGGTTGCTGTGAGGAAGAAACTGGAGACCATCTTTGAGACCAGTTGTGATGTTGGATAAGAATTCTTTGGAAAGTAGTCATTTCCAATAAAATTATTAACATTTCTTTATATGTAATATATTACATAAAGGAGCTTTTTAAGCCCTAGTGATGAATGTGATGTCATGGCTCTCTTTTTCAGTAGTTGTTTAATTTTTCCATGGTATTTTGCTATTGATCTTTATGGCTTTCTGTGAGATCATGGTAAAAATTCTGAATACATTTGTTTTTCCCTTATTAGCCTTTTGTTAATGTCAAGCATAGCACATGAGACATTCCTTGTTGCTATGCAACTGCTAGATTCAATATTTAATATTAATAAAACTAGGTCGTATTAAATTCAATTCACAGAGGGTAGCAAAATAGGGCTTTGCAGTATCCAATCAGTAATACTTACAAGGTTTAATATATTGTTGCAGATATGAGCAAAAGAGGGGTAACTTGTTTACAATTACTATTTTGATGAAAAATAGTTGCAATTATATCTTTACATTTATGGCCAGATTTTTCCTTGTTTGATTCCTTTTGATCCTTCCCTTTCACTGCTTTTTGATCTGTGATTCGGTTTTTGTAGTGTCTGTGTAATTGATGTTCTTTTGTATTTTCTTTTTCTTTCAGATTTATTACCTTTCATAATTTAAAAAATTTTCTCTCTCAGTTTTTATTTGCTCTTTTCATTATCAGTCTTATTTCTTGATAATTTTTCCTTTCAAATAATTTAGACTTAGTGTGGAAATTTGGAATTATAATTTCGTATAAACCCATATGAAAAGCATATTAGATATGCTCTTTAGGAGAAGAGCCACTTGTAATCCCCTTTAGCTGTTTGCAGTGTGTACTTGGTACTTCCAAGATATTGAAATGTTTCCTTTAGTATTTGTGAAATAGTTCCTTTCCAGGGGTAGGAAGATGTAAGAGACGCAGGCTCTGGGGTTTATTTTTAAAAAAGACAGGGTTGAGAATATCTAGTTTGCAAGTCCAAGATGGACAGCATCTGGCAATTCTTTCTCATTCTCTTAACCTCACCTCCCCACCCTCAAAATCCCCAGCCAAACCTTCTCTCTTTCCTAGTGTGGGGAAGGGAGGCCATGGTAATTTAGTGGAAAATGTTTTAATTATAGTAGATAAATAATAAACAGGCATAGATACCTTGCGTTTTCTTGAGCGGGTAGTTAGAATTTGCTCATGTCCTTGGAATAATTTGATGAGAAGAACTAAAGAAATCTGAGAAACAATTGTTCTTTAAGAATAAATGAAAACTCTAGAATCTAATAATCTAGGAAGTAGTGTAGAAAAATCAACTTTCTCTTATGTAGAACACAGACTCTACAGTTTACTGAAAATGATGGCTTACTACTGTAGACAAAGAAATCCCTTACATTACAATGTTATTCTTATAACCAGATAAAATACACTCCTAAGGACCATCTTTGCTAACCTCTTACATTCCAAACCCTTTATGGTGATTTTATTTGTGGTAAGGAAATTTGACCTGTATGTGGGCCTCATGTAGACACCTGGCTGTAGTATTTTAGGCTAGTGTTTCTTCCCTTTTTAACAGAAGAGTACTTTTTAACAATTACAACAAAACCCTTCAGTGATAGTAGGTTATGTGATAAAGTATGCCCTCAATTACTAGAAATTCAGTAATACTTTTCGTATCTTTTTAATTGCAATAATATTTCTGTGTATTTGAAAAGTAGTAAGTACATGGAATGCACAAGACATTAATTCTTTCTAAAGGTTATAGTAAAGTACATAGGGATTCATAGACCTCTTGTAACTAAGCTCCCAATGAAGTCTGTAGTTGGGGAACCGCTGCTCTACTCCATTATTTTTGTTATGTTGTATAAAGGTACAGTCTGATCTTCTTTTCTTTTTATTCTTGTAATAACCCATAGAAAACAGGATGTAAGTGATGTTTGTTTTTTGTTGAGCTGATCAGCAATATTTGAGGGTAATACATCAAAATTTTTTGTTTTTCATTTCTCCTTTATACTGGTGGAAGGTGAAGTGATAATCATGTATGTACAGATGTACACGACTCTTTTCTTAATTTTATATGTATAATGCGTGTGTCATACCTTCATAAAGGAATCAGCAAGTTGTTATTATGGCAGTGTGAAATAATTACAGAAGTCTTTTAAAATACTATGTTAAAACTTTTTTTCTTTAGTGATGTAGGTGTTCTCAGTGAGCCTTTTCCTTCTTCAAAAAACTGTTAGCTTGATAAATCTTTCATCTCGGTTGATATTTGGAATGTTGTGGAAATTTTGAGGCAGTTTGACTCTTCGGTAAAGGAGCCACTAAAGTGAAGTTTGAAAATCTATGTAAAAGAGGTATTTGGAATTTTGTGAGATGGTAAGAGAACCCTTGAATTTCCATTCCTTCATTGGTTATTTCTAATGTCTGTTTTGTATTGTTCTTAAATGTGCTCTGAGTTTGTATTGAGTGTTAATCATGAACAAAAATGCAAATACTTCTACTAGATTTGTAATTGACACTCTCTCCTCAGCATCCCTTCACTAATGATCTATAGATTCTTGAAAACTGGAAGAAAACACCATTGTTTTTTCATGCAACAGATTAATATTACCATAGGGAGTATTACTGTAATAATGGATTTTTTTCATCCTTTCAGGGTTTGAAAGTATTCTTGAAGGGCTGTTTGGACCTGCATTATTAAAAGATCTCAGTTTATTTAAAGGTATTCAAAATATTTTTTTTAATATTTCAGATTTTTGTGGATGATATATATGAAACATTGGTGACTTAAGCCTCAGGCTCCTTTTCATTCACGGTTTTATGAGTTAAAACTTTATGCATGCAAACGTCTTTTTGTGTTACTTGATAATGCAAATATGTGTAAGACTAATGTGTATTAACTAGTCAGCAGTTATTATTAAGAATTTTAAGACAACCTGTCTATTACTTAGTGAGGGCTTTTTGTGGTCATTGTTAAATAATATTTTTGAAGTTCTCAGTTTCCTGAAGAATTATCTTTTGTGCCTATTAATTTGTTATTCCTACTATTTTCCAGACTGTGAACCTGAAAGCATTTCTGATTGGACTTTCGATGAAAATTGTCTGTTTTGTTGCTTGAGAAGAAATGAAGTAAAGGTAACCAAGAAACTTGTGAAATTTAGCTAGTGTGGTATTTTATAGTCATTATTTTTTCAAATTTGATTACTTTGTTGGAGGATTTGTAGGAAAAGGAAGGTAGAATTCCATATTTATTTATAAAGGATTTGTAACTCAGTTTTGCGATTTAGACTGTTTCTAGTCTGTTGATTAGCCTATTGAGAAATCTGCATTCCACCATGCATTGCTTTATTTATATAGTTCACTGGGCAGAATAATTAACTAGGTCTCAAACTGTTGTATTTATTTTAAATATGACATTTATGGTAATTCAAGTAATGGGAGTCATTTGTACAAAAAGAACAGTAATATGGATCTGGATCAAGTTACTAATTCATGTAGATTTATGATGGACTGTGGTTTATGCTTTAGTATAACATGTTTCCTCATAATATTTGAGCATGTATGCTGTTTATATTCAGCTGTAGAAATTGGCTAGATTTTTGGTCTCTATGCTTTGTGTCAAACCTAAATAGAATTTTGATTTAGAAATACTACTTAAGTTGTTGGACACATGAATAATAGTTTACTGTCTGGTGTTTGTTGTAGTGGTAAGTCTGTTCCCTGTTATAAAGCTTTGGAAACATTTTGAATTCCTTCCTCTCCCTTGTACACTTCCAACTTCAAATCACTGACCAGGTTCTATCAGTTCTTTCCTCGTATTGAATTTCATTCTTTTTCTTTCTACAGTCATCACTTTCAACTGTATTAGATGGTTAGCATTATTTCTGGACTACTGAAATAACATAATGGGTCTCTCTCAGTTTTCTTAAATCTTTTTAGCAGTCTTTAACTACTACAAGGTTAAACTCCTTCCCCTCAACCCTTACCCCTGAAAGAATGTGGAAATGTTACCCTGTACACAGCCTCCAATGACTTTCTCATTGCCTTCTGGATTCACTACCTAATGCTCAGTGCCTCTGTGCTCTCCACAGTTCAGTCCACTTCTCTTTCTAAAGCTGTCCCATTAGTCTTCTATACATATTTCTTTCAGCTAAACTGATCTGATCATTTGTATTAAACAATATGCTTTTACTCTTTGGACTATAGCACTCCATGCCCATTGTTCTCTGTAGCTTGATATTCCTTTGCTCTTATACTTAGCTTAAGCTCTTCCCATCCTACAAGTGACCTGCCTACCTACCTGGCTTGCTTTCATTCTTCTTTCTTTCTGTTTGCTCTTACTGCTGTTACAACTTCATACTGTTTTGGTAAGTATGAATTAATATTCTCCCTTATTTTGTTCAGCCTTTTCTGTGCTTGAATTTTGTGTTCTGACTACATTGTCAGCTTCTAAAGACTATGAACCATACCATACACTTCTTTGTACCCTTGCATGTAGCCACTGCACCACTGTTTACGATCACTGGCAAGTTGCTTTAAAATCTGATAGCCAATTCAAGAGCTTCTTAATGTTCTTACTTTTATTTTTGCTGACTACAGAAAAAAATTATTGCTGTGACTATCCAAGATGGTCTGTTTTCACTGAATTAATGAGGAGAGTGTTTTGAAATTCAATGTGACTCTAAAAAGAGGCACCAGAAAATAAAGCCAATTACCAATGAAGTTGAAGTTCATCATTTTAAACTCTGTGTGTTGGCATGTTGTGACTATTTATTGAGCAAGTCCTTTAATAGATGTTTTGGTGGAATAAAAGGAGCAACTGTTAGTTACCTTCTTTCAGGATAGGGTTGGGAGGGAAGCCCTTCCTATGTTCAATAATTAAGTACAGTGTATTTCTAGGTGAGGGTAAAATATCATATAAATGTTTTTAGAAGAAAATGCAGAAAAATAGCAAGGCACGGAACCATGTAGCATTTAAAACGTCTGTTCTTACTGTTTGTAGTTCTACATTTTTAGTTGGTTTTCTCATTAGAACGAATATTTCCATTTGATAACTCAGCTCCACTATCTGTCTTTGGCATTTATTTTTTTCAGAGAATCTTTGCAGGCACTTGGAGCATTTCTGAGAAAGATGAGACTGTGAAAACTAAGTATATCCACTGGTTTGAGGCTTGCACGTAGGGCTGGCTTAAGATTCCAAAAAAGAAGGAACTGTCTGTAGAGTTTGGTAATAGCCAATAGGTATCAGCATAAAACATGCTCTTAGAGTCTTGATTTTGAGATTGACATGGTGAGATACCTAGAAAATGTTTGCAAAAACTCTTTGAAGTAATGCATCTGATAATTTGGAAAGAGAAGGAGGTCACAAATATTTTTTAGTTAATTGGATTTTCAGTGGATACTGAAGCTGTTAGAATACATTAGTTAAATTTATGTTTTAAAATATGTAAGTGAAAAATATGAAGTAGTCTCTTTAGAAAATAAAGAGGGATTCACTTAGATTAGCAAAACAATGTTTGATCTATAATTCAGGATCCTATAGCAGTTAGAAAATATAATTTGTAAGGGAAAGGCAACTAACATTTTTGAGCATCTACTGTGTGCTGGTTACTTTGTTCTCACTTAATTCTCACAAGAACCCAATAAAGTTACCTAAAAGCATCCCAGTTTTACAAATAAGGAAATGAGAAGGCTCAGAGAGAAGTTTTGGGCAGTTACATAGCTGGAATTTGATAGATGTTTTTAGAGTACATGAATTTTGATAACAAACCTAGGAACAGGAACACAGAAAGTGGAGAGCAAAGGTTAAATAGGACTTGGAATTACTCAGTTTGAAAGAGGGAGAGAATCAGAGTTTAAATGGGCACAAGTGTATTTGGAATAGCCAGTCTCAGCTGTGCTAAGAATCTTAGGGAGTGACTGCCTGCCTGCCTGATGCTTGCTTGCATTCTTCTTTCCTTCCTTCCTTTTTCTTTTTGTTGGGCATATAGTAGGCTCTCTGTAAAACATTTACTAAATGAGTAAGAAGTGAGGAAGCTTAATAAACTTGGAGAATTATAATATCATGTAGCAGGCATATAAACACAGCTCTCTGTGTATTATTCACTCATGAGGCTTTTATACTTTCTTTAGCTTCTTTTTGAAATAATTGTAGATATAAAACACTTGCAAAAATAAACCTAGGGACAGGAACACAGAAAGTGGAGAAGCCAGGGTTAAGTAGGACTTGGAATTAACTCAGTTTGAAAGAGGGAGAGAATCAGAGTTTAAATGGGCAAAGAATTCCTGTGTACCGTTTACCCAGATTTCCCAAATGTTAACATGATATGTAACTACAGTACAATTATAAACGTCAAGAAATTAACATTGAAATAATACTATTTAATCTGAAAACCCTTCAGAATTTACCAGTTATCACAATAATGTCATTCTTTCTGGTCCAGCATCCAACTTAAGGTCATACTTTGTATTTAGTCATAAGGTTTCCTTAGTTTCCTTTATTCCGGAATAGGTCTGTTTTTCTTTGCCTTTCATAACATTGACATTTTTAAAGAATACTGGGAAATTTGTTTGTAGGATGCCCCTCAGTTTAAGTTTGTATTATGTTTATTCATGATTTAATTCAAGTTAGGCACTTCTGGCAGGAATTTCACAGAACTGATGCCTGTCATTCTCAGAGCATCACATCAGGAAGCACATGGTCATGTTTACTTTGCTGAGTTAAGGTGGCATCTGCCACTTTCCTCTACTGTGTTTCTGTTATTTTCCCTTTCCTACATAATAGGTATCTTGCGGAGATGCACATTGAGGTTAACCTTTTTATCATCATACTAATTTCTCCTCATAGGCTAATTTTAGCATCCATTGAAAAATTTACTGTGGTGTTTATCAAATGATTTTTGTGTTTCTGTAACTTCTGCCTCGATTAGAATTCTGCCTTAAGGCATAGTGTCCCTTCTTCTCTATTCACACATTTAGTTGTTTACATGTCAGTATGGATTCTTATTTCATTCTGTGGATTATAATTCATTACAATCACTGTTTATTTTATAGTTCAAATTGTTTTGGATTTGGCCACTTCTCAAGTTGGCTCCTCATCTTTCTTGTCATGTTCCTTTTTTTTAAAGCATTTATTTACTTTTTGGCACCAAAAAATGTTTCAAGTTTCCCTTGTCCCAAACCTCAGTTTCTCCAAAAACCATAGTGTTTTTTTTATTTGGAGAATTTTATAAGAAAGCAAGGTCTGGCACTAGGTGTATTCATTGATACTAGAGCATTGTTTCTTCTTGGCCTCTTCAGTTGTCTGAGCTATGAAATATGTATGTTTACTTTTTTTTTTTTACATATATAAACACTTTTTAAAAATTTTGCTATCATTAATGTACAATTACATAGCAACATTATGGTATGGTAACTAGACTCCCCCTATTATCAAGTCCCTACCACATACCCCATTACAGTCACTGCCCATCAGTGTAGTAAGATGCTATAGAATCACTACTTCTCTGTTTTATACTGCCTTCTCCGTGTATTCCCCCCCACATTATGTGTGCTAATCGTAATGCCCCTTTTTCCACCTTATCCCTCCCTTCTCACCCATCTACCCCAGTCCCTTTCCCTTTGATAACTGTTAGTCCATTCTTGGTGTTTGTAAGTCTGCTGCTGTTTCGTTCCTTCAGTTTTTTCTTTGTTCTTATACTTGACAGATGAGTGAATTCATTTGATACTTGTCTTTCTCTGCCTGGCTTATTTCACTGAGCATAATACCCTCTAGCTCCATCCATGTTGTTACAAATGGTAGAATCTGTTTTCCTCTTGTGGCTGAATACTGCTTTCCACAATGATTGAACTAATTTACATTCCCACCAGTAGTGTTGGAGGGTTCCCCTTTCTCCACATTCTTGCCAACATTTGTTGTTGTTGGTCTTTTGGATGTTGGCCATCCTAACTGGTGTGAGGTGATATCTCACTGTGGTCTTAATTTGCATTTTTCTGATGATTAGGGATATGGAGCATCTTTTCATGTACCTGTTGGCCATCTGAATTTCTTCTTTGGAGAAATGTGTGTTCAGATCCTCTGTCCATTTTTTAATTGGATTATTTGCCTTTTGTTTGTTGAGTTATGTGACCTCTTT